CCCCGGCAGCCCCCTGCAGAAAGGGGGCTCCTTCTGGAGCTCCATCCCCGCCTCCCCGGCCAGCCGGCCCGGCTCCTTCACCTTCCCGGGGGACAGCGACTCCCTGCAGCGGCAGACGCCCCGCCCCGCGGCCCCCGGCAAGGACACGGACCGCATGAGCACGTGCTCGTCGGCCAGCGAGCACTCCGTGCAGTCCACGCAGAGCAACGGGGTAAGCGCGCCGGGGAGCCCGCGCCCGCCGGCCCCCCTGCCTCTGTCCCGGCAGCTCTTCTAAACCCGTGTCGCCATCGCTGTCCTCGTACTAACTCCGGCTCTCCGGCGCTGCAATAATCACCTCCTCCTGCGGCTCTCCTGCACCCGGCCGGCCCTCACATCTGTGGCGTCTCTGCGTGTGTGTCCGTGGCCGCAGCGGCACCCGCGCGGCCTGGAGGCCAGATGGCTGACCCCTGCCCGCCAGCACCGCGGCTCTACTAACTCGCTCTCTGCTTTGTTGTGTCTCCTAATCAGGCCAAGCCGACCATTAACCTTCTCAACACAGCGCTTTTCCGTCTTTTCTGTATTCCAACCAACGGGATATCTTGGAACTTCCTTTTTTTAAGCCCCTGCCTTCCTCATGCGCATTTTTTTTTTTTTTTTGGAGGGGTCTTTTTTTCTACTTTCTACCTCCTATTTAAATTGAATCCTGTACATTTTAAGCTTTTTGCTCATCGCTTGGTTTTGCTCTTTGATGCCTTAAATTATCTATCTTTGCGGCATTTTTGACTCATCTGCAGGGGGACAATCCCCTCAAGAAAACTTCCAACAGCAACTCAAAGCAAACTAAGCTGACAAAATGGGGGGAAGGAATCTGTCTGGTGGGAATACCTTACTTCACCCCAAGTGTGGCTCTGGAAGAGAGACTGCTCTCACTCCTGGTGGCTGGCTCCTGCAGGTGGCCGGCATCCTGTCCAGCAGGGGCACCCTCAGCGGGGGCAAGTGCACCTGTACCCTCATCTTGCCTGCCTGTATTCTGGTCCTCAAGCAGAGGGCTTGCTGTGGTGGGTTCCCCCCCATTCTGTGGCTTCTTCACTGTCCTACCCCACCCCACCCCCGTTCCCTACAGGGCAGATGGCTTGGCCCATAACACTTTCCAGAAGGCATGCGTGAGTGAATAGAACTGTTCTGAGTGTATGTGTGAATGCTTTATAAATTTTTAAATACTTTTCCCATAAAGGGTCTGTGTCTCTCTTTATATTAAAAAGAAAAAAAGAAATCTGGCTTTTGCATGTCTCTCTCTTTCCTCTGGACTTCTATTAATGCCTTACTTGATTTGACTTGGTCTTATCCTTTACTGCTATTGTTTGTTACGTATTTTGTTAAGCTCAAAGTTTATATTTAATTGTGGAAGAAATTAACAAATGGGTCTTGACACATTTATTTGCAGTTGAGTCTTATTCTTAAAAATAAGTGGTGGGGCAGGTGTTCTCTGTAGTGGCTACCCCACTGTGTCCTGCAGAGCACAGTGACCTCCCACTTAGGACATGCTAGGTAAGTGGTTGAGCATCCGAAAACAATGTCAGTCAGAGAAAAGATGCAGACACCCCAGGGACATCTGTGCCTGCCAGCCCCTGGCTAAATACTCAGTATACAGTATACAGGCATGGCCGTCGGCTCTGGCCCTCATAGAATTGGCATTTGAGCATCTCTTGGGCTCAGTCTAACCTGAACACTTTCTCATTCAGCACAAGAGGAATTTTTAGAGTCTGTGCTTCAGAATTAATAGCTCACTGCTCCCACACAGCAACCCAGGAACGATGCTGGTCTTCTGTGGAGTTCATAAGTAGACTTGAATAATGGCCATGCCCAGCCCTCCCCTAGATGCTTACTCTGAGGCAAAGCACAGGTTGTAGGTGGCATGTATTCCAGTAAGTTCTAGGCTGGGAAAGTTTCCTTTGGTGTCTGTCTTCCCACCTGTTCTTATGTTGTAGGTAATCTGAAAAAGGAAGTTGCCGGACTGTGTTTCAGATGAGTCAGAATGTTTTACAAAAAATTCTGTAGAGGTCTGAGAAGATGGCCAGAAGCCAGAGGTCTAAAGCAGGGATTTGAAAATGTCCTCCAGGGCTCTTAAGGATTTCCATTAAAAGGAGCCACCACCCCACCTGGCCCCTGCCCATCTGCCCTTCTGGCCCCCTGGCAGATCTTCAGAGGCCTTCTTCCTCCTTGACCACTTCTGTCAAGCTGTCTGCGGTCATAGCCAAGCAGCTGTGCCCAGCCCACCACCGAGTCCTCCTTCCCCCTTTAGATGGGCACCTTCTGCAAAGTTCTGCCGAGAGCAGGAGTGGTGTAGATGTGGCTCAGCCCAGACTGTGACTGTGCCAGCCTTGCCTGCAGCTCTGTGGCCTGGCCTTTCACTCCACTTAATTGGGCGGCAACACAATGGGCCACACACTGGAGTTACTCTGGCCCTGCCTTTCTCTCACAGACCAGGTCTCCTATGCAAACTCACTAACCTCACGCTCTAAAGGACTGATGACCATGCCCACTGACAAAGTGGTTGTGAGGAGTAAGTGAGGTAGATTTGAAATGCTTAATATGGAGCCTGTCACATGGGAAGTGGTCAGAAAATACTGATAGTTATTATTGTGGCAAAATACTCAAATTATGAGATGTAACCTGGTATGGTATACATTACCAAACACAGCTATGCCACAAAAGTTTTTTGTTCAACAAATCTTAGAACTATTGGTATTTCTATATAAGTCAGAATACTAAAGCAATTCTAAAAGATTAGTACTAATGCATATGCACAGGCCAAAACCAGACCTGTACAGCATGCTTCAAGCTGAGGGACCCAGGCCAACAGTGGGCATCCACAAGTGACAGGAACAAGAAAACAGACTCTTCCTCAGCTGAGACAAGAAACAAGGGCCAAGCCACATCACCGTGTCTTATTATACATCTCCACTGCAGTTCTAGGTGCATAGCCCTGGCCCCTGAGTTCCCAGTGGCTGGCTTGTCGGCTTGCCTGGGCTTGGCCTCTTTCCACTCATCCCCTCAACCAGCTACTGTGGTCCGCCATCTGCTCCAGCATGTGATACCGGCTCAGTAGCTCAGGGATGAGGCAGTACAGCAGGGTTGTCCAACTGGTTGCGTCTACACTGACCCAGGATCTGCCTAGGTCGTCCACGAGCTCAGCAGAAACTAGCGTCCTGGAGTCTTGGGAACCCACGAGCATCCCGACATCATCCTCGGTGGACGCCTCTGAGAACAAGCTCCCGGGAACAATTGCCAGATGCCTCTGCTCATTTTGTAACTTGATAGGGGGGACTTGGACAAGATGTAGCTCAGGATCTGGCAGGTGTCTCAGCTTTCTTCTCCTCCCCATGGAACAGTGGGTCCCCCGCTAAAGAGGAGCTCGGGACCCATACTACCATTTGTGTTTCTCCTACTCAGCGGCTGGCACCCTCTGTGTGGGCCGGGTAGGGCCTTAAGAAATCATCTTTGCTTTGCTGTTGCAATCTTGTCTTGTTGACTGAGCCACTCAACTGAATTAAGTTCCTACTGCATGTCAGTCTCTGTGACTGGAGAGACCAGTTCCACAGGGGCTGCAGGAGAAGGATGGGGTCCACATCCCACACTGGGGTCTGTTCCTGAGGCCTGAGTTATAGCACCTGGGACAAGCAGCACTGTGATGCTATGTGATACGTTCTTATGGCAACAGCATCTTGGGGACACTTGAGTCGTGCAGGCTCCTCAGAGGGCCACCCATGGAGGAATGTATGATAGAGACATCAACTAACCCATAAGAACAGAATAGTAACTGATTTACTTTCAGGTGTTTCCACAGCCTTCGTTTTGAAGGAACGAAGGTAGAAATATTTTATCTAGAAGATTTAGAATTTTTCCTTTTGTGAGACAAAGTGTCCCCAAGATGCTCTTTCATCTTTTAAAGTTAATACCTTTGTTTAAATGAGCATGATATTCACGATGAGATGACTGTGTTTGGGTTGGGAATAACCCAACATGGCATCAACGTGAGGTATCGAGGGTACGAGGAAGATCAGACTATGTCAGGCTTGCAAAAAATGTGCCACTACTGCCGTGACTTTTTTAGATTGTCTCTAAATTGCTTTCTAGAGAAATTCTATTTTCACTGATTAGAAAGTTGTACAAAGCTAGCCAGAGAGTAAAGGAAAAATTAAATAAAGGTGTCTGGGTGCCTGTCTGCCAAGCCCTGCGCCGGGCCATGCCATGTCATGGGCACATTGACAAGGGGTTTTTCGTGTGGTCAGACTCGTTTCAGTTCCTCCCTGCCTTTTTCTGTCTTCATCTGTCCCTCTCCAGAGTGAAAGCAGCAGCAGTAGCAACATCTCCACCATGCTGGTGACACACGATTACACGGCAGTGAAGGAGGATGAGATCAACGTCTACCAAGGAGAGGTCGTTCAAATTCTGGCCAGCAATCAGCAGAACATGTTTCTGGTGTTCCGAGCCGCCACTGATCAGTGCCCTGCAGCCGAGGGCTGGATCCCGGGCTTCGTCCTGGGCCATACCAGTGCAGTCATCATGGAGAACCCCGACGGGACTCTCAAGTGAGTGTGTGATGGTAAAGCCCACGTGGTGGCTGAGGGGGCAGGGCACAGCACAGGTGAGGTGCAAGACCCTGGAAGGAGAAGCACTTGGAAGGAAAAGCCGTGCTGTGTCTGCTAGTACAAGTTCATCTCCGAGCTTACTGTGTAACCCCAGAGGAAAGGTAGGGGTCTTCCGGCTCTCGGATATCCTCACACTTTCTTTGAATAATCTGCATTTGGAAGCACATGGCTTTTTGAGGTAATGGAATAAAACAAGGTCTTAGGTAGGAAATGAGGACTTTCTAGGGGAACATCTGAGAACCTCTGTGAGGGACAGTGAGGATCTGTATGGTGCCATTATGATCCTGGTTTGTATACCAGAAGGATAATTCAGTTAAGAAACTTGAAACTAGTCTTACTGCATTACTCATCATTTTAAGGAAAACTGAATCTAGTGCTGGTTTTTACACGCTTCCCTTCCCTGCAGTGCCAGTAGAGACCAGCCAGACAGCTTCTGGAGCAGAAGCATCACAGGTGTTCCTGACTTTTTAAGTCTCTGAGAGACCAGACATAAAGGTGCTGACACAGCCACGCCCTCCCCCTCAGGGATGCACTGGGCTGGGTTCACAGCCTGGCTCTTCTGGCATCCCAGAAGCACCCTGTGCCTCTGGGGTTAGCGTGCACAGGGAGACTGGACCCAGGTTCAGACTGCAGAGAGCCTGTCTTGGCCTCGATGGTCCCTGGCCTGCTGGCTTTTGATGGGCAGACACGGTTTGTCCTACCACATTAATCAAGAATTTCATTTGACAGCTTCTTGTATGTCAGTCATACCTCAAGAAAGTGGTTTTAAAAGAGAAACTGAAGCAAAAAATTCCCATTTACTTTGTTTCTTCAAAATGTATTACCAGGCCCTGTTTTAGTCAGGGTTCTCTAGAGAAATAGAACCAGTGGGGGAGTGTGTAGAGGTGTAGGTCTAGACACAGGCACACCTTGTCTTATTGTGCTTTCCTTTGTTGAGCTTGGCAGGTATTGCATGTTTCACAAATTAAAGGTTTCTGGCAACCCTGCATTGAGCAAATCTGTCAGCGCCAATTTTTCAGCAGCATGTGCTCACTTCCTGTCACTGTGTCACATGTTAGTAATTCTCATAGTATTTCAAACATTTCATTATCATTATATCTGTTATGGTGATTTGTGATCAGTGGTGTTTGATGTTGCTATTGTAATTGTTTTGAGGCACCATGAACCACATTTGTACAAGATGACAAACTTAGTAAATGTGTGTTCTAACTGTTCCACCAACTGGTCCTTCCTCATCTCTCTCCCTCACCTCAGACCTCCCTGATCCCTGAGATACAACAATATAAAATTAGGTGAGTTGCTCAGGTTCAGTGGCTCAACCTGTAATCCCAGCACTTTGGGAGGCCCAGGCAAGTAGATTGCCTGAGCCCGTGGGTTCGAAACCACCCCAGGCAACTTGGTGAGACCACACCTCTACAATAAATAAAAAATTAGCCAGGCATGGTAACACGCACCTGTAGTTCCGGCTTCTTGGAAGGCTGAGGCAGAAGGATTGCCAGAACCTAGCAGGTCAATGCTAGGATGGCTGTGATTGTGCCACTACACTCCAGCCTGGGCGACAGAGTGAGACTCCAACCCAAAAAACAAAAAACATTAGATGAGTTAATAACTCTGCAATGTCCTCAGGTATTCAAGTGAAAGGAAGTCATGTTTCTCACTTTAAATCAAAAGCTAGAAGTGATGAAGCTTGGTGAGGAAGTCATGTCAAAAGCCAAGATGGGCAAAAAGATAGACCTTTTGCACCAAATGTGTAGCCAGTCCGTGAATGCAGAAGGAAAGTGCTTGAAGGAAATTAAAATTTCTACTTCAGTGAACACATGAATGAAAGGAAAGTGAAACAGCCTCATAGCTGATAATAGGGAAAATCTCAGTGGGCTGGATAGAAGAAGATCAAGCCAGACACACACTTCCTTAAGCCAAAGCCTAATCCAGAGCAAGGCCTAAACTCTCTTTGATTCTATGAAGGCTGAGAGAGGTGAGAAAACTGCAGAAGAAAAGTTGGAAACCAGTAAAAGTTGGTTCATGAGGCTTAAGGAAAGAAGTTGTCTCTGTAGCATAAAAGAATTGAGGGCTAATGCGACTGGGGATGTTTAAGTTGAAGCCAGTGCTCATCTGCCATTGTGAAAATCTCTAGGCTCTTAAGGATTATGTAAATCTCTGCCTGTGCTCTAGAAGGGGAGCAACAAAGCCTGGCTAATGGCACATCTGTTGACAACATGGTTTACTGAGTATTTTAAGTCTACTGTTGAGACCTGCTGCTCAGAAAAATAAGATGCAATTCAAAATCTTATTGCTCATTGACAGTGCACCTGGTGGAGACATACAAAGGGATTCATGTTACTTTCATGTCTGCTAATACACCATTCATCCTGCAGCCCATACCAAGGAGTAATCTCAACTTTCAATTGTTGTTATTTAAGAAATACATTTCATAAGGCTACAATGGCCACAGATAGTGATTCCCTCAATGGATCTGAGCAAAGTAACTAAAAACCTTCTAGAAAGGATTCACCATTCTAGATGCCTTTGAAAATATTCATGATTCATGGGAAGTCAGAGTATCAACATTAACAGAAGTTTGGAAGAAGTTGATTCTAGCCCTCATGGATGACTAAAGGGTTCAGGACTTCACTGGAGGAAGTAATTGCAGGCGTGGTGGAAACAGCAAAAGAACTGGAGTTAGAAACCAGGTGCAATGGCCCAAGCCTGTAATCCCAACACTTTGGGAGGCCGAGGCGAGAGGTTAGCCTGAGCTCAAGAGTTCAAGACCAGCCTGGGCAACTTGGTGAGACCTCGTCTCTACAATAAATCAAAAAATAAGTCAGGCATGGTAGCAGGCACCTAAAGTTCCAGCTACTTGGAAGGCTGAGGCGGAAGGATCTCCTGAGCCCAGCAGGTCAAGGCTGGGGTGGCTGTGAGCATACCACTGCACTCCAGCCTGGGCAACAGAGTGAGACTCCAACTCAAAAAAAGAAAAAAGGAGCCTGAAGAGTGGACTGAATTGCTGCAATCTGATGATCAGACTTGAAAAGATAAGAAGTTGCTTCTTATAGATGGGCAAAGAATGTGATTTCTTGAGATGGAATCTACTGCTGGTGAAGAGACTTTACATGTTGAAATGACAACAGAGGATTTAGAATGTCCTATAAACTTAGTTCATAAAGCAGCAGCAGGGTTTAAGAATTCAATTTTGGAAAGAAGTTCTACTGTGGGTAAAATACTATCAAACAGCATTGCTTGCTACAGAGAAATCTTCCATTGAAATGCAGCAAACTCCATTGTGTTCTTATTTTAAGAAATTGCCACAGCCACCCCAACCTTCACAGTCACCACCCTGACCAATCAGCATTGAACCAAAACCCTCTGCCAGCAAAAAGATCATGACCCACTGAAGGCTCAGATGGACATTAGCATTTTTACTAAAAGAAGTATTTTTAATTATGGTATGTACTGTTTTTTTAGATATAATGCCATTGCACACTAAGTAGTCTATAGTATAGTGTGAACATAGCTATTATATGAAAAATTCATGTGATTCATTTTATTGCAATATTTCCTTTATTGTGGTGGTCTGGAACTGAATCCCCAGCATCTCCAAGGTATGCAGGGATAGATACGGATTTATTATGAGAACTGACTCAGGTAGTTATGGAGACTGGCAAGTCCATATCCACAGTGTGAGCCAGCAGGCTCCAGACCCAAGAGAGCCAATGGTGAGGATAAAATCTGGAGAAAGTCATCTAGAGAATTCCCTCTTGCTGTGGAGGCCAACCTTTTTGTTCTCTTGAGGCCTTCAGCTGATTGGATGAGGACCATTCACATTAGGAAGGGCATTCTGCTTTACGATGTCAATTAATGTCAGTCTCATCCAGAAACATCCTCACAGAAGCACCCAGAATAGCATTTGACCAAATATCTAGGCATCTTGTTACCCATCAAGTGGATGCACAAAATCAGTCGTCACAAGCATCTTTCTTTATATTGTAATCCTTAAAATTTGCTTGAAGAAATTGTCTCCTGGTTCTAAGACTCACAGAAAGGTCTTCTTTGGCAGTGATCTCGGTTACTGAAGGACTGTGCATCACCCTGTCCACACATAAGTTGCATATCTAGCTTTCCTCTAATGCTTCCAGTATCACTTGCTGAATATCAGACAGCATAATGCTAACAATGTGTTCTTTTCCTCCAGGAAGTCAACATCTTGGCACACAGCACTCCGTTTAAGGAAAAAATCTGAGAAAAAAGATAAAGACGGCAAAAGGGAAGGCAAGTTAGAGAACGGTTATCGGAAGTCACGGGAAGGACTCAGCAACAAGGTATCTGTGAAGGTGCGTTTGGGCATCTCCAGGAACCTGTGTTATCCCTCCACAACAGAGGGTCTCGGAGGGCAGAGCACTCTGCAGACATCTCCCTCCCACCCTCCTGTGCCCTGAGAGCAGTGTCTAGCAAGGTCTTGTTAGGGGTCCTTGTGCTGGCTGGCACACAGATGCATGCATTCTATAAGGAGCCAGGTGTTCACCTGTATATCTCACCAGGTGCACCCGTGGCTTATAAGAGATATAGTTAGGGTTCTAGATGAAGCACAGAGACTGGGTCTCAGAAACAGGGCACAGAGAAGCTGTGGCCTTTGGTGTTCACCTGCTTTGGACCAGAGGGGAAGGGACTAGGAATGGGGCCACATCTAGGGCTCACTGGCTTTGGCAGACTCCCTTGGGGGCATCTTCAGTCAGCTTTAGTCCTCTATAATCAGATCGCCCGAGGCTGGGTGGGGGTTGCCTGGAGAAAAAGAAAATATCTCCTGAAAGGGAATCTGAGCACCATGGGTCAGAGCACTAGGCAGTCTGCATTAAGACAGTTCTGGGGACCAGTGGACTTAGCCCACAGGAGAAGAAAAACGGACTTCTCCAAATTTAAGCAGCATTTTGTGTTTGTGGGTAGGAAAAAAAAGACACACCCAAATTAGCATGATGTGAAGCTTTCAAGTGGGTATTTTAATGAATACCCAGGGAAGCTGATTTCTACTAGTCTTTTTTTTTTGGTTGTTGGAGTCTCACTCTCACCCAGATTGGAGTGCAGTGGCACGCTCACGGCCACCATAGCCCCAACCTGCTGGGCTCAGGCAATCCTTCCACCTCAGCTTTCCGAGTAGCTAGAACTACAGGCACTCCCCACCACATCTGGCTAATTTTGTTATTTATTGTAGAGACGAGTTCTCACCAAGTTGCCCAGGCTGGTCTCAAACCCTTAGGTTCAGACAATCCTCTCTTCTCTGCCTCCCAATATGCTGGGATTACAGGCGTGAGCTGATGTGCCCTGCGTAGTCTTTCAACAATTGTAACCCTGGAATGAAAGGAATATACCTTGTAATAGATCATGTTTTTGTTAATAGCTGTCTGCTTTTCATTTCAGCTTCTCAACCCCAACTACATTTATGACGGTGAGTTCTGTTACCTTTTTCTTCTAGACCTGTTGGGCATGTGTCAGAACAGTGTAGCCTCTGGTATGGTTTCCTGTGGCACATTGGGCTTAGATAGCAACTTAGGTCTTCTCAGGCTGTTAGGACGCATCGGTAGGGGTGGGACAGGAGCCGAGGGTGACCAACCCTCACCAACTTCTTTCTCTTGCAGTTCCCCCAGAATTCGTCATTCCATTAAGTGAGGTCACATGTGAGACAGGGGAGACCGTTGTTCTTAGATGTCGAGTCTGTGGCCGCCCCAAGGCCTCAATCACCTGGAAGGGCCCCGAACACAACACCTTGAACAATGATGGTCACTACAGCATCTCCTACAGGTGAGGGAGGCCTGCTCTGGGTGGTTTCTCTAGGAGAATGGTCTTGTTACGTGGTAACTGGAAACTCCTTTCCTGTGACTGATGTGATGGGATCTTCGGCCACCTTCAGCACTCGGTCTCTTTCTGTGAGGGCACATGTCATACCTAGTGTGCAGCTCCTCGGCAGTCCTTGAGCTCCTGCCCTACCTTGATCCTGAAGGAGGGAGGTCACTGCTGGCGGCCAGGCACTGCACCTTTCTGATATCCCTTGTGTTCTCATCTGTGCTGCAGTGACTTGGGAGAGGCCGCTCTGAAGATCGTGGGTGTGACCATGGAAGACGACGGCATCTACACGTGCGTCGCTGCCAATGACATGGGTTCAGCCTCGTCTTCGGCCAGCCTGAGAGTCCTAGGTAAGCGGCAGTTGGCTAAGAGGCCTCTGCCTGAGCCAGGGGGCACGTCTTCCAGAAGTCTCCTGAAGTCCATAGTTTCCCCTCACACTTCACATGGCCTGAAATACAGAGTAGCACATCACTCGTGGGGCCTTCCAAGAGACAATTACAGGTCGCAGACGCCGTGGGATAGTGACCTCTCAGCACCTCATACACGGTCACGGGAGGCACCCAGGGCTCCTGTTGCCGGGAAGAGAATGATGGCCCACACGGTGAGGCCACTAGCTACCTGCCCCAGGGCATCTGAGTCTCTAATGACCAGCCTGGGAGTTGAAACAAGGTGTTTTTCATGCTCTTAGTTCTCAAAAACACATTCTTATATCCGATTGTCCAGCTGAATCTAGATCTGGTCTAAGTTGGTCTCACATAGGATGCATGTAAGAAAAGAAGGAAAGAAGGTAGTAGGGTTGCATCCAGGCCTGTGCCAACTCTGTGCCCATCTTAGATGTTAATGGCCACCCCACTGATGGTGGTCCCACCCCTTCCATGAGGTGTTGGTCTCCAGGCAGTTCCATGGCTTGTCCAGGGCCTCCAGTGTGGGGCCTGCTCACTCGAGTCTGAAAACCTCGTTCTCTTTCCTCAGCTGAACTATGAGCTCCTTGGGGCAGAACCCGATCTTAGGCCTGTTTTAACTTCCTGTGGTTATGCTTGACATAGGTAGATGCTCAGAAAGCAGCAGGTACTGACTGCTGTCTGATGGCCGCTTGCAGAAGGCCAGCCATGTGGTGCCAGGTGGCCGAGGGCTCACATCCATCCTCCGGCTTCTCAGAGTGGGGAGCTGCTGCCAAGAGGGAAAACAGGTCCCACACGAAAGGTGGATGGGTCCTGGAGTGCCCTCAGTAAAGACAGTAAAGAGAAGTTGTCTTAGAATGTGTGTCCCCAATATCTTAAGTCCATTTGTTTTAACCTCAGAAATCAAAGAAAGGGCATGTTCTGGTTTTTTGGATCATGGCACAAGAAAGAAAAAAGTCTTGAATTTGCTAGTAAGAATCACTGAGTTTCTGATTTTTAAAAGTTTTGTTGTGGTTTTTAAAATAAATCACTAATGAAAGCTAAGCAAACTTAGAAAGACATAAGAATGTGCATGCCTTGGGGATATGAGTGGAAAGTTAAGGAAAAGGAAGAATGGGATTATTACTAGCACGCAAATCCAGCTGCAGCCCCAGAGGTCTTCAGAAGATTGTCTTATCACACACGCCAAGGTGATCTTGCTATTTCTAAATCGTCCCTGTAAGCAACCATTTTATTTGCAGGCATCAGTAATTTGACATTTTGGTTTAAATCTTCCTGTGGCCCCCTCCTGTTTGTGAGGCTGTTCCCACTCCCACAAGCCATCCAGGGCATGGACCTTCATCTCTCTGGCCTTGGCTGTCCCGTGAGATGTCCAAGGCATGGGCCCTCATTCTCTCTGGCCCTGGCTGTCCCACAAGTTGTCCAGGGTTTGGACCCTCATTCTCTCTGACCCTGGCTGCCCCACAAGCCATCCAGAGCATGGGCCCTCATTCTCTCTGGCCCTGGCTGCCCCATAAGCCGTCCAGGGCGTGGGCTCCCGTTCTGTCTGGCCCTGGCTGTCCCATGAGCTGTCCAAGGCATGGGCCCTTGTTCTGTGTGACCCTGGCTGTCCTACAAGGTATCCAGGGCGTGGGCCCTCATTTTCTCTGGCACTTGCTGCCTTGCAGAACCTCGGTTCTCAGAGGTTCAGGAAACAAAGGCTTGTTCCTAGGTCAGAGGAGCTGCCCAGAGTCTAGGCTGTAGAAGGGAGTTCTGAGGCCAGAGGAAGTGACCCTACACATGTGAGGACATATGCAGGCCCAAAACTGTGTCCACAAGAACAATACAGAGAGAGCCCTGTCATGCTGCCAGCCAGGGCTGAGGTTTCTGTCAGTGAGACAGGGCAGGCATGGTCTGGAGGGGCCACTGTGATGCTGCATCTCTGGGTCTTACTGGTGAGCAGAGTTGATGTTTATGTTTGATGTGCATTTCTGTTTGTGTGTAATGCTTGAAGAAAAATGTTTATTTTATAAAAACAACCACCAGCAAGCCCTTTTGGTAAACTAAGGAAGAAAATAAAATACTGTCTTTATGCAGGTAAAAGTCCAGTATTTCTTAATGAGATTTGGTAGATGTTTCCAAATTGCCTAGTGAAATGGTTTTGTTTTTGTAAAGGAGACCCTATTGGTACATGTTCACCCACATGGTAGAAGCCATGATTAGGAAGGTGTTGGCCTACTGGTGCTCTGAGTCAGGGCACAATCAGGATTACTAGCCTTGCCATTCGTAAAGCACTTTAAAAGTATGTGAATGGGCTGGCAGTGACCCAAACAAACACTGGCACACTGACACAGTGTGATGTGTGTCCTTCAGTTCGAGTGATTGAAGTGAAATCATTTCTACCTGTGTGTCCTTCTATGACACCTGTGGCCTTGTGTGGAGGGAAGGGCTACACTGGTTTCTGTGAGCTACAGAGGAGGATTGGACTTGGGTTACTTTACAGTCATGTGGTAGCCTCAGATGCTTCTGTAACAACCACGCTGGCTGGTGGCACGTGGCCCACAGGTGCTGCTCACTCGCTGTGGGAGGAAGTGATTTCCAGCCATGAGTGAGTCAGGGAGGGCATGTGGAGGAGGTGACTCTCCCCTCGAGGGTTCAGAAGATAAATCAAGACTGAACATGGTTTAAAGAAATAGGTTCCCAGTGACAGCCTAGGCAGAGCTGGAGAAGCTCAGGTGAGAACAGGGATGAGCACAGGCTCTACCTGGGCAGGGGAGAGGGCAAGGGAGGAACCAAGTGGAAAGAGGAGGCTAGATGAGGAGGGCCAGGCATGCTGGCAGCCGAGGAAGGCTCGGGAACATGGTGGCAGCTAGGCCCCTTGCTCGGGACTTTCTGCCTTAATGCTTCCTTCTGTGGGACGACTCTAGACAGAATGCCTTATATTCCCATGGGCATGTGTATTACTAGGTTCATTACTAACAAGTGACTTACAGTTGGCACTTGTGTAGTAAAAGTCTTTCTGTGTCGGCAGTGTATTTATCACTTATTAACTGTATAAAGTCCCATGTAGGTTAAGTACGTATAGTGAACTCTGGTCTCATGTGGCTCTGAAAGGTGATGTTGGGACAAGAGACCAGCCCAGCTTCACAGTGGTGTGACAGGGTGAAAAAGAGAGCAGGGTTGTGCAGGAGAAATAAGATAAGGGCCTTTGGATTTTTCTAGCAAACATATTTTAAGAAGTAAAAGTAATTTACTAGCATATTTAATGTAATTCAGTACATCCAGAGTATTTGATTTCAACAAGTACTCTGATGAAATCAGTATTTGAAAGTTATTGGTGAGATGCCCTCCATGTCCCGCTAAGCCCCAGCATCCTGTGTGCAGTTGACATCCAGTACATCGTCACTCGGGAGCCACATTGCTGATGCCCAGTGGCCACTCATGGCTGCCATATTAGATGGTGCGTGTCTACGCCTTTTACCCAAGAAATCCCATGTGAAACAAGCTCAGGGAGGTGCTGCTCTTCTTGCAGGTCCAGGGAATGATGGGATCATGGTGACCTGGAAAGACAACTTTGACTCCTTCTACAGTGAAGTGGCTGAGCTTGGCAGGTATGTGAGCCCAAGCTCCTCTGAGAGAGCAGAGTGTGAGGCAGGGCACACCAGAGCCCTTAGATACTAAACACGGGGGGACATCAAGAAGCCATTTTCCACTCGGGTTCCAAGAGAGGAAGTAAGGCCAGACAATGTAAGCCACCCATTGATGGAGAGAATTTGCTTCTCTCTCACGCATCTGAAACAGTCCTAGCTCTGAACCATCCTCAGGAGAATTCAGGAAAGAGTCACTCACATGCTTCTAGCGGGACACTTAGTCCTTGAGTCCCTCAGGTTTGGTTGTGCACGGAGATCCAGAGAAATGTCACTGTAATGTACATGCAGTACCAGCCCCCTTTTGCACAAGCCAAGAGAGAGGGTCTTCCATTGAGGGGGCTGATTCTTTTGAGGGCTGGCAGGGCTGGGTGTTCAGAAGTGCCATCAGCCAGCCCAGCTCTTCTTGGCCCTGCTGTCTGTGCCACACTGCCCACACTTGCATCTAAGCAGCACGACCTATGTGACAGGACGAGCAGGGTAAAAACAGCATGGCAGCTAGTTAGTCCCTCTCAAAGGACTTCCCAAGAAACTCCAGCCAGCAACACCCTCAGACATTCCTGTGGCCAAAACAGGGTCGCATGGCTCCTGTTGGAGTCTGTCACTTTTCTATGATTGCATTGCAAGTCACACCAACACCCACTGTCTGAGTAGTGACATGAGACTTCTCACTGTGCTGTGGGCGGACGGGGCAGTTATTCTGTTGGCCTCTCCTGGCTCGGCCAGCTGGCATGCCCCTGCCACACGCATGTCGACGGCCTTGTCTGGGATGCAGGCCTCTCCCACGTATGCTTTCACCCTAGGCCTCCCCACATGGTGGCAGAAGCATTCTAAAATAGCACAGGCAGAAGCTGCAAGGCCTTTGAGGGCCCAGCCTCAGCTGTCAACAGTGATTTCCTTCATAATCTGTGGTCAGCCCAATCCGAGGGGAGGAGGAAGAGACTCCGCCTCTGGGTGGGAGACTGGGGAAGCCATGGCATCTTTCACCCACTGCAGCTCCCACCCTGTGCCACAGGCTTGTTTCTGGTCCTCATGTGTGTGTGGTGTACTCACCCTCCTGAGCTACCAACTCCTCTCCCGCCATGGCAGCTGGCTTAGGCCTGAGGCCCAAGGTCCTGTCCAGATCAAGTCAAAGTGCGGCTGAGGCCCGGTCTGGTCTGTCGGGTGCAGCTGCAGAGGCCATGCTGCCTACCCCACCCTCACACCCACTGTGGGAAGGCCGAGGCAGGGACCACGCAGGCGCCCCTCTCAGAAGCACTAGGCGGCACAGCTGATGGGCAGTGCTGAGCTGTCCATCCCAGGCCTCCTCATGTGATGAGGGTGAAGATGGAGCCACCTAAAGAGGCCGAGGCTCAGCGACTACCTCCGTCCCTCCTGCCATATGCAGTGGCTCAAAGAAGCCAGGGGTGTGAGGTGATGCTGCTGCCTAGGAAGGTGGCAGAGTCATATGGCTGAGGGACAGGGGTGGGGCTGGGGGCATCGTGGCACCACAGCCCCTCCAGGGTGGCCTGAAGAGCAGGGTCTGTGGACGGGGCTGGGTCACCACATGGCAGAGGGGTCCTCACCCACCCCATCAAGGGTTGCAGAGTTTTCTCCTTGACATACCGCAGAGGCCTTTGGAAACAGTCTTCTCAACATTTTACAGGGGCAGATTCTCCGTTGTCAAGAAATGTGATCAGAAGGGAACCAAGCGAGTGGTGGCCACCAAGTTTGTGAACAAGAAGCTGATGAAGCGTGACCAGGTCACCCACGAGCTCGGGATCCTGCAGAGCCTCCAGCACCCCCTGCTTGTCGGCCTCCTGGACACCTTTGAGACCCCCACCAGCTATGTCCTGGTTTTAGAAATGTGCGTACATACCTGACCACCCCCCACAGTCCTTTGCCTCAACTTCCAGTGGTTTTGTTATTTTTGTTTGTTCTCTAAGAGTAGAAACTGGGTTTTTAGAATTTGCAGAACTCCTCAAAAGTATGCTTCCCATCGGACCACAGTTTTTGAGCCTTCTAGAAACTCAGAAGGCAGGGTGGTCTTCAACAGGGGCTGCTAATGAATGGCAGAATGCCCAACACACCCCTACTCCAGGCTCGGGCAACTTTGAGGCCCCTGGCTTCTGAAGGTCCCAAGAGGCCAGACTGCCTCTGGTGCTGAGACCCAGGCCCACAAGTGGGCTGAGGCTGACCTGACCCCCGACTGCACAGGGTGGGCCTTCAGATGTCAGCTCAGCCCCGGACAGTCCTGCCCCTCAGGCTCCTGCCAGCTGCAGGCTGGTTAGCTGGAAAGGCAGCACACGCCTCACCTGCAGAACCGTCCTCTGGAGTGAGGTTGGCACTCTGACCACAGCAGCCTCGCTGATGCCCATCGTAAAGAAAAAGAGTTGAGACCTGTGACCCCAGAGCCGTGGGGCATCCCATCTGTGGGCAGGTTGCCCAGGCACACTGGAAGTGTCTGGAGGCATCTCTGGCTGTCAGAGCTCAGGCCGCCTGTGCTGGTGGCATTAGTGGGTCAAGGCCAGGGATGTGCTGGACCTCCTGCAAGGCAAGGACAGCCGGCAGCAGAGACTGACTGACCTAGGCTTGTTGGGGGGGGCAGTGGTGAGAAACCTGCCCTCGGGGCATCCTGAGCTCTGTGAAAGACTTTGGGTGTTTCCTACTCCTCCTTTTCAGGGGACTCTTTTCTAGGATTTATGATTTCTTTTCCACAGGGAAGCATAAAACCCTTTGCCACATTTGCAAATCCCACATAGATTCTTCAGGGGAAAGCTTGGGGTTCGCAATGCGACCCCCCACCCCAAGTCATGTAGGGGCTGCCTCGGGCTCGGGACCACTCTCCTGTGGGGACTCCTTTGAGGCTGGGCACCTGACCCTGCACATTCTGGTTATCAGACTCTTCTTCGGAAGTTGTAATGCCTCTACCCTGCATTCTTCCCCAGGGGCCTCCATCCTGCACCCTTCTATAAATCCCTCCACCCTTCTCTAGATCCCACCACCCTGCACCCTTCTCGGGGCAAGGCTACTGCAAGTTCTCGAGCGTCTAGGTCCAGCTTTCCCTCGGACTGTGCAGCTGAAACCTCCCCCAGAATCTGGGGCTTGTTTTCCAGACCCCTTCCCTGGAAGAGAAAACACATCTCACCATGGAAGGGAGTGTAGTGGGCTCCCTGTGGCTGAACAGTGGGTACAGAGAAGAAGACAGGGAGCTTAGGCCTGGCCAGGCCCCACCTGATCTCGGGGTGCCTTTAAGGTCACACTGACTGTGGGGGCCATTGTGGAGCTGAGATGACGGTGTGTGCAAGGAAGCCGGTGGCCAAGCTAGGCCTGGCCCAGGAACCTGAGGGCCTGGGTGGGCTCCTGGCTCCCGAGGCTGGTGATGACCAGCAGCTCCTGCTCATCCTCCCCGAGGACTTTAGCAGGAACCACCACTCATCCTCTTCACAAGGCCCTCGCTTCTGGACTAAAACTTCATGTGGTCGGCTGACGTTTCTTCTCACTGGGAGCCCACATGGCTTGGCCTCCCTATTTTCATGACATGTGACAACCAGTTCCCCGTTAGTAGGCAGGTGACCCATCTTCCTGTGAATTTCTACTTTGCTATCAAAGAGGGCAGCACTGGCCACTGTGCAGAGAGGCCAAGGCCAGCTCACCATTATCCAGTTCTGGCTCCTCCATTTATAAGCTGTGGGACCTTGGGAAAGTTTTGTACCTTCTCTATGCCTCAGTTTTCTCATCTATAAATTGGGGTAATAAAGCAGTCTTCTCAGAGAGTCATGAGGAATCAATGAATCGCTAGAGAGCATTTAATCTCTAGCACTTGGGCAGTACTGGATAAGTGTTTTTTAAGTACTAAAAGTGACTTCAGAAGAGGAAAACTTTGAGTCCAACACTAAGCACTTACCATATTGCCTCAAGTCTGCATCCTGTGTGATTCTCATTAAGTCTTCCTGTGGCTCATGTTACAGGTGAGGAAACTGAGGCTTAAGGGGTAGGGTATGTGCCCGCTTTCCTTCAGCAGACACCTGCAGAACTGGTGGACCAGGTCATCTCCTGCCACAGAGGCAGAGAGTGAGTCTCTCTACCTGGTTCCCCTGAGAGGGAGGCAGCTTGTCCCCCACTCTCATCTTCCAGCAGCTTCACAGAGTCATCCTCCCTGTCTATAATGCCTTCTGTTAGAGGTTCTGGCCTAAAATGCTGATAAAACATTCCTAATGGGTGATAGGCCTGATGTGTTATTTCTCATGAGTCTGAAGAGGCCTGTAGATGGAAGCACGTCATAAAAGAGTCACTCATCCCTACCTCTCCAGGGCCGACCAGGGTCGTCTCCTGGACTGCGTGGTGCGATGGGGAAGCCTCACCGAGGGGAAGATCAGAGCGCACCTGGGGGAAGTTCTGGAAGCCGTCCGATACCTTCACAACTGCAGGATAGCACACCTGGACCTAAAGGTGAGCAGGCCCAGCACAGGGGAGGGTGGATCTGACCATACCCCACTCGGGCACATGGAAAACTACTCTGCTGGGAGTCCTGGGAGACAAGGAACAAAAGTGGAAGATGGGAACACTGGTTCCTCATCTCTGTCCTAAGAGTTTGCCTTCAGTGGTGAACACAGTCGGTAAAATACTGGATAAACATCTGAGATCTTCCAACCTCTCACGAGACCTTCAGAAAGTTCCTGTGAGTTGTGCCAGGTGGGTGTGGGTGGTTCACGGTAACTTAGACAGGAAGGAGAATGTTCCTCTTAGTGCTGGGAGGAAAAATGGATACCCAGTGTCACCAAGCAGCCTTGTCTAAGTAGACTCCTTGGCACTCCGGTTTCCAGAGCTGCTCTGAGTGGGACAGGGCAGCAGCCCCGCATCAGCGCGTCCTCCCCTGCCTGGGCCTGCGCAAGGGGTCCCTCCTGCCTGGCCTGTGAACAGCTGGTCCCTGCCGATGTCGTAGACTCCTTCCGCCCCACCATAGATCCCTGGCCATCATCATGAGCAAGCTTAAGTCAGGGTGGCTTGAAAGTTACAGTTGCCGTCCTGTCTTCTAGCCTGAGAATATCCTGGTGGATCAGAGTTTAGCCAAGCCAACCATCAAACTGGCCGACTTTGGAGATGCTGTCCAACTCAACACGACCTACTACATCCACCAGTTACTGGGGAACCCCGAGTTTGCAGCCCCCGAAATCATCCTGGGGAACCCTGTCTCCCTGACCTCGGACACGTGGAGTGTTGGAGTGCTCACATACGTCCTTCTCAGCGGCGTGTCCCCCTTCCTGGACGACAGCGTGGAGGAGACCTGCCTGAACATTTGCCGATTAGACTTTAGCTTCCCAGATGACTACTTTAAAGGAGTGAGCCAGAGGGCCAAGGAGTTCGTGTGCTTCCTCCTGCAGGAGGACCCCGCCAAGCGTCCCTCGGCTGCGCTGGCCCTCCAGGAGCAGTGGCTGCAGGCGGGCAGCGGCGCTGGCAGAGGCGCGGGCGTCCTCGACACGTCCAGACTGACTTCCTTCATTGAGCGGCGCAAACACCAGAACGATGTTCGACCGATTCGTAGCATCAAAAACTTCCTGCAGAGCAGGCTTCTGCCTAGAGCGTGACCTGTCCTGAAGTTCCTTCTCATTCTCTTTCACCTGCCAATCAGCTGTTAATTTGAACCTTGAGGAGAAATCAAACCAACCTAACTGACCAGCTGCGGTGTATTCATCGTGTGACATTGCATTCCAAGTGAGCTGCCCAGCGGTGCTTGGGACTCAGCTGCGAGCTGCGCGGGGGTGGAGGCCTCACCACGCTCTGCCGGGGGCGGAGGGCGCATTGCTGTATCACAGTGTTTTATTCAGGTTTCTGCAAAAAATAAAAAGATACTTTTTTTAAACAAACAGGAATAGAATTTTGCAAATTTAACGTTTTCAAGGTTTATTCAAGGAAACAAAATGCCTATGTTCAACCACTGGTGTTAACGAACAAAACAAAGATACTCTGCATCTCTGGGGAAGATGCACCCAGGTGGCGGCCACCCCACGGCCTCGGCCAGCGCTCGGTGTCCGCCCAGCTCTGAGCTTTTCCAGGCGTCTGGTCTGTGTGCGTCTCCCCGGACGCCAGACCTGGCTTCTGAAACGTGCATTCAACCTCAAACTTTTGCATAAAATAGAATGAATCGTTTTGCTCTGATGAAATGTAGGCCTTACTTGTATATAAGACTGTTCCTGCCTTTGGTCTGTCATTCCCCCCCTGCCTCCCCCACCCACCGCCGGGGCTTCCTCTGGGGGTCTGAGGGTCTGCCAATCATGTGAAGACATCAGGTTGGGTCCTGGCCCCACTGCTCCCACCCCCACCCCAAGCCGTCAATCGGATTGTTGAGCGGTATACAGTCAGATGAAAATACTGTAAATGCACTCATTGGGGTTTTTTTGGTTTTATTTCATATCATGTGCAATGTTGTGGCTTTAACATTTTATGCAACTATTTATGAAGACCTCTGTTGTACCTGTAATAAATATATAGAAAAAGCACATACTTCGTACAGTGAGCTTTATGGTTTTGTGTGTGTGTTGGGGGCGGGGGGGGAGGGTCATAGCCCTGTGCCATCGGTTCCAGGAGACTTAACTCTTCGTGAAACTTGCCAGTTTTGAGGACTGTAAAAAGTGATTTCATACTCTGAAAATAAAACTGGATAGTAGGGTAATATTTTAAAATTTATTATGCTATTATTCAGAATGCCAAAGTATTTTTTTTTTCCCAAAATCAGTCTGGACATTTACTACTTTTTAGACTTTTTGACGTTCAACTTTCTGTATAAAGATTGGCTGGGTTTTGAGCTTTTGGTAAGAAATAAAAGCCAATTAAGCACTGGCCACCTTGCGGCTGGTACCCAATGCCTGAGTCACTGTGGCAGAGTTCACGCTGGTGTGGAGAGTCCATTCAACGCAAGGGTTTCTGGGCACCCTTGCTGTTTCCTGGATGTCTTTTTGATGTGTGAAATACACTACAAAGAGACCAGCCTGCTTTCCAAGCCAGCCAGACACCTGGGTCTTGAGCCATAAACTGGCATAGTTAAGCTTTGCAGTGTCCAATGTATTTTATTTATTCTTTTGTTGGGTTTTTGTTTGTTTCTTCTTGTAAAATTGTACAGAAACTTTTTAAAAGAAATTGGATTCAAAACTGGATGTGTATTCGTAACCTCATAACTTTTATTTGTGTATTGTTTCTTTTATTATTTCAGTTAAATTTTTACATTATTTTGCATGTATATTTCTTTGTACAGAGACCTTACATGTTTACACAGTATGATGTGATGTAAATATTTTATTTTGCCATCAGTTATTTTAAAAAATTAAACATATTTGCCTGATTTTTGTGTTAGGCTATTTATTTAAAATTGGTCCCTATTGAATCGGAAAGGGAGACTACTGAAGCAGAGACCTCTCGTGGGTGGGAGTGGCAGAACATTCTGGATTGGGAATTCTCCGTATACTCAGAACTGAGAGTTGGACCTATACGCTGGTCCACAGAAACCCAACTTCAGACACTGATGTGTAACTACAATGTCAGTTGACCTCACAGTGGGGCCATGGCTCATCCTGTTAGGGTATCTCGGGTACCTCGTTTCGATGAGTGTGAAATCAGAGCAAAGCGAAGAGCTGTTTCATCTGCCTTGGAGAAGCAGAGCTGACATCCAGACGGATTCAAGAAAACCAAATGCTTAGGTTCAAGCACGCTGTTACGAACAAACAAAAGACCTTGCACTGGTGGAGAAAGCTGCTGAGTGGTGGCTGTCCCTCAGTCCCAACGCCTGAGTTTGCCTGATCCTAGGGTGGGGACTTCCCACCCCATGACTTCTACAGCTCTGCTGGTCCTGCTATTGACAATAGGTTTTTCTTCCTGATGTCCACATTGTCTTGCTTTGATTCTTGCTGGCTTTCCTTCTGGGATGATGATTGTATTGTTTGTACCATAAAGAATAGGCACTCTCCATCTGCTGAAACCCCGAATGGAAGGCTGATGGGAAAGGACATTTTTGCTAAGTCTCTGTGTCAAGATCCGGAGGTGTGTCTTCCAAATCCCAGGGCACCCAGGGCTGAGAGGGCTCAGGGAGGAGCAGAAATGCAAGGATGGTTCGTACTCACCCCTGCAGCACAGTGTCAGGTACCGGAGGGAGTCATCTGGTTGGCCACATCTCAGAAACTCAATGGAAGCAAGTGGTGGTGTGTGGTATTTTCCTTTCAACTGAACACCTGATGAATGGAGTCATTCTGCCTTTGAGGCTGGCAGGACACACTACGCAGTAGAAAGGACTCTGATGTTTGGGCTATCACGGTCTCTATCTAGATTTCCCCAAATATCAAGATGTTTCACATTCTGTATATTATTATTTAGAAATCTTTTAAACCCGTGGATTCCCTTTAACCCTAACAGAAGCAGGGGAATCACCAGTATTTTAGCAGAATAATGTATGAGTATCATCTTACAGCAAGTGATAACCAGAAGAAAAGACCCTTTCCATTGCACATTTCTTAACCTAATTGTGAGACAAAAATAATTTGTGGAACTGACAGATTCTCAAATTTATATATATTTATGTGAGATTTCACTTACAGAAAATACACGTCATAGGAAGTAACTGAAAATATTTGCATACGTTTGCACACCTGTGGTCACCCAGAGCAAAATATAGAACATTTTCACCATCTGTTATCCCCTCACCCGCTGAAGTTTCACCTGGCCCCTACCTTCCCAATCAGTCCCTTCCTCCTGAGATAATCGCTGTTTCAATTTATATCATTCATGGATGAATCTGTCTTTGAGCTTTGTACAAGTAATCAGGCATATGTCCTTAAAATTAGGTTAAGGCCAGGCGTGGTGGCTCACGCCTATAATCCCAGCACTTTGGGAGGCTGATGTGAGAGGATTGCCTGAGCCCATGGGTTCGAGACCAGCCTGGGCAACTTGGTAAGACCTCATCTCTACAATAAATCAAAAACTTAGCCAGGTGTGGTGGCACATGCCTGTAGTTCCAGCTACTTGGAAGCCTGAGGCAGAAGGATCACCTGAGCCCAGCAGGTTGAGGCTGCAGTGGCCATGAACATGCCACTGCACTCTAGCCCGGGCACAGAGTGAGACTCCGACTCAGTAATAATAATAATAATAATTAGGTTAAAATTTTTATTTTGAAGTTATTGTAGATTCCCATGCAATTGTATGAAATGTACCCTTTGCCCAGTGATAACGTCTTAGATGTGATAATACAATATCACAGCCAGGATATTGACATTGATACAGTCAAGATACACTGAGCATTTCCACCACCTGTTGCCCTTTTATGGCCACACACACCTGCCTACCTCCGTCACACCCGCCTTCAGCTCCTGCCAAGCCCTGACCTGCACGCCATCTCTGTAACTTTGTCACTCAGAGAATGCTATGTAAGTGGAATCCCACGGTATGTCCCCCTTTTTTTCCACCGAGTGTCATCCTCTGGAAATTCATCCAGGTGCTTGTGCATATCAAGAGTTTTTCCTGGCCGGGCTCGGTGGCTTAGCCTGTAATCCCGTGCTTTGGGAGGTCGAGGTGAGTGGATTGCCTGAGCCCGCAGGTTCGAGACCTGCCTGGGCAACTTGGCGAGACCTCATCTCTACAATAAATCAAAAAATTAGCTGGGCATGGTAGCATGTGCCTGTAGTTCCAGCTACTTGGAAGGCTGAGGCAGAAGGATCGCCGGAGCCCAGCAGGTCAAGGCTGTGGTGGGCAGGAGTGTATCACTGCACTCCAGTCTGGGTGACAGAGTGAGACTCCAACTAAAAAAAAGTGTTTTTACTTTTTCTTACCGAGGTGTGTTCCATGGTGTGGATGTGCTACAGTTGAGCCATTCGCCACTGAGGTTTGTCTCACCTTTGGGTTGTTCATAGCCGTCTCATATGAGTTTGTGTATGATCCTAAGTGTTCATTTCTCCAGGACAAGACAATGGGCAGATCATATTGTAGTTGCATATTGAATGTGTTAAGGGACAGCCCAACTGTTTTCTAGACTGTACCATATCCCATTCCCATGAGCAGTGTATGAGTAATCCAGTTGCTTGTGTCCTCGTTTTTAATTTGGCCACCCTGATAAATGTATAGTGGGATCTTATTGTGGTTTTAATGTGCATTTCCCTCCTGGCTAATAAGGTTGAATATCTTCTCATGTGCTTGTTGGCACATTCATATATCCTCTTCAGTGAAATGTCTCTCTCCATATCTTCTTTTTTTTTTTTTTTTTTTGAGTCGGAGTCTCACTTTGTCACCCTGGCTGGAATGCAGTGGCACGCTCACGGCCACCACAGCTTTGATCTGCTGGGCTCAGGCAATCCTTCCACCTTAGCCTTCCAAGTAGCTAGAACTACAGGCATGTGCCATCAGCCACCACACCTGGCTAATTTTTTTTATTTATTGTGGAGATGAGGTCTCGCCAAGTTGCCCAGGCTGGTCTCAAACCCATGGGCTCAGACAATCCTCTCACCTCGGCCTCTCAAAATGCTGGAATTATAAGCATGAGCCTCCACACCCGGCCCCATATCTTTTGCATATTTTCTTATTAGATTGTTTGGTTTTTAATTGTTGAGTTCTGAGAGTTTTTTATATAGTCTAGATACTAGACCTTTGTCAGCTATGTAGTTTGCAAGTATTTTCTCCCACTCTGAGTGTGTCTTCTTAACAAGATCTTTCACAGAGAAAAAGTTTTTATTTTGATGAAGTCCAATGTGTCGATTTTTCTTGATGAAGTCCATTGTATCAATTTTTCCTCTTATGGATCAAACTTTTGGCGTGAAATCTAAGAACTTCTTACCTAACTCTAGATTGAAGGCTTTTTCCTATGTTGTTTTGTTTGTTTGTTTGTTTGTTTTAGAGACAGGTGCTCTGTCACCCAGGCTGGAGTACAGTGGCATGATCATAGCTCACTGCAACCTTGAACTCCTTGGGTCAAGTGATCCTCCCACCTCAGCCTCCCAAGTAACTAGGATTACAGAAGTATACCAACATACCTGGCTAATTTTAATTTTTTTTTTGTAGAGATGAAGTCTTACTATGTTGCCCAGGTTGGTCTCTTAATTCCAGGCCTCAAGTGATTCTCTTGCTTCAGCTTCCTAAAGCACTGGGATTACAGGTGTGAGCCGCCACCCCACCTGGCCTTAAGTTTTTTTCTACACGTTTTTAAGTTTCACATTTTGCATTTAAGTTGATGATCCATTTTGAGCTAATTTTTATATACAGTGTAAAATTGAGATTGGGGTTCTTTTTTTTTTTTGCATATGAATGTCCAGTTGCTTCAGCACCATTTTTTTTCCCTTTTATCAAAAATCAGTTGAGCCTATTTATGTAAGTCTATTTCAGGGTTCTGTACTCTGTTCCATTGACCTATTTTTCTGTCTCTCCACCAATATCATAGTCTTGATTACTGTAGCTAGACAGTAAGTCTTGAAGTTGGGTAGACTTATCTTCCCACCTTACTCTTTTTTCAAATTTATTTTTATTAATCTAGTTTCTTTGCCTTTTCATATAAATTTTAGAATAGCCTTGAGTATGTCTACAAAATATCTTTTTGGGATTTGTATAGACATTGCATTAAATCTGTATATCAATTTGACAACACTTGACATCTTTACTATGCTGAGTCTTCCAATCCATAAATATGATATATCTTCACTTATTTAGATATTCTTGGGTTTCTTTTACTGTCATTTTATAGTTTTAAAAGTTCTTGGACTGTATATATTTTGTTAAAATTGTATGTACCTGAGTCTTTCTTTTTTAAACAATTATAAATATTTTTTATTTTAATATCCTTGCATTCACTGCTACTATAAAGAAATACAATTGACTGGGCACGATGACTCAAGCCTGTAATCCCAGCACTCTGGGAGGCTGAGGTGAGAGGATTGCCTGAGCCCATGGGTTCGAGAACAGCCTGGGCAACTTGGTGGGACCTCATCTCTACAATAAATCCAAAAATTAGCCAGGCCTGGTAGCATGCACCTGTAGTTCCGGCTACTTGGAAGGCTGAGGTGGAAAGATCACCGGAGCCCAGCAGGTCGAGGCCACGGTGACCGGGAATGTGCCACTGCACTCCAGTATGGGCGATGGAGTGAAAGAAATACAATTGATTTGTGAAAGTTTGTCACATATTTGCTGAACTCACTAGTTCTTGGTATTTGTTATAGATTCCTTGGGCTTTTCTATATAAATAATGTCATCTGTAAATAGAAACAGTTTCATTCCTTTCCCATCAGAAGTAATTTTATTTTAGAATAGAGAGAATTAATTTTATTTCTTGCTGTAGTTCACTGGCTAGAATTTCTAATATTGTATTCAATATGA